TTACAGAATAGTCTATTTACATACAACACAAATAGTCGAATTAATACAGCCAAATAGTCTATTGTGTTTCACATCGTGTTATGTGAATTTTCAACTAAACAAGTTCTACATACAAATTCCACTAATTCCAGCAAGAATAACAGATTAATTACCTGCGTCGGTTAGCCGAATGTTGTTCAATGCTTTCGTCAATTATATGAAATTATATTTAATGGGCATGGAAACGAGAAGCGGCTTTTGGGATAATTACATTTTTGGTCCCTCATGTTTAGACCGATTTCACTTTTGGTCTCTCTTGTTTCAAAGTGAACAAAGTTCACCTCCATGTTTCATTTTTAAACAGTTTTGGTCCACTGCGTCACATGGACGTTAGCAATTAACGAAGGAAGTCACGTGCGCCGCGTGTGACCCCTAATTAGGTATGACAAATGGGGAAATAACCCCCAATTCACCAAATATGTTGGTTTGGGAAAGAATTGGGGTAGAAGGTGAAAATTGTTGAGAATGGCAATTGGGGGTTCTTTCCCGTTTTTCAGACCTAATTAAGGGTCATGTGCGGGGCACGTGACTTCCTCCGTTAATTACTAACGTCCATGTGACGGAGTGGACCAAAACTGTTTAAAAATGAAACATGGAGGTGAACTTTGTTCACTTTGAAACAAGGGGGACCAAAAGTGAAATCGGTCCAAACATGAGGGACCAAAAATGTAATTATCCCGGCGGCTTTTTATTATTGGTAGCCTTTTTCTTTTTCTTTTTTTAATAATCTTTTAAGTTAGTCTACCAAAAGGTTTTATTCCACTTTCACCTAATTAATGGAGAGAATTGTTAGAGAGAGAAGTAATTAAAAAAAAGTGTTTTAGTCCATTAAGTACACATTTTTCTAAAACTCATGGATATTTATTTATTGGCGGCGGATATATGCAAGCCTATTTTTTTAATCGTTCAAGACCTCCAACATAAAAATACTAATTTACCCTTAATGAACTTCAAAATCAAATAAAAAACATAAATATAAAAAAAAATTGGCGTTACAACGCCGATTTTGACTTGTAAAGTCGACGTTGTGTCGCCGATTTAGTTAACAAAAATCGGCATTGTGACACCGATTTCCGTGTACAAAATCGGTCTGGGTAAACCGATTTGGGAAACCAACGAAAACACACAAAAAAATCAATTTTAATCTCAATTTTTTTTCCAAAATTGGCTAAAGCATTGCAACCCAACAAGAAATAAGCATAGATTAACGTTCATCCACGCATATTTATCAAGAATCAATGCTCGATTAATGTTTTTGAATTGACAAACAAAAGTTTAGTAAAAAGGACTTACTTGTTGGTAATGGTGGGGTGGTGGTGATGGTGCAGTGGAGGTGGTGCGGTGGGTGGGTCGTTGGTCGTTGCCAACACGGTGGAAGTCTCGGCGGTCTGGCGGTGGCAGTTGTGAGTTTTTTCTATTTTTTTTTTTTTTTTGTTTTTTCTTTGGTCTTGAACAAATTAAAAATAGAGTTTGTTTGTATTTGGGTATTATTTATTGGGGTATATTCGTCCTCTTTGGTCTTGGTGTAATAAAATTAGATTAATTTACGGGTTTGAACTAATAAACCTCTTTATGTGAGTTTGAACTAATAAAAAAATGGGTTTGCATATATCCGCCGCCTTATTTTATTTTATTTTATTAATAGAGTTTTTGTGCATAAGTCCATGACCAATCATTTTTATTATTTTAGGTTCAAGGGTTATATATTCGTCAATAAACTCATCCTTTTAACATGTATTATAATTTTTAAATAAAGGAAATCTAATGTATATGACAAAATTACATCCAATCATTTACATCAAATACTTAATTATAACTCCAATTTAATCAATTTTGACCACAAAAATCCAATCTTGACTTCTTCTTTTTTTTCTGAAAATAATTTTTTGCCGCCTGTTTCCAGTGTTGACTTTTTCGGATTTTTTTTTCTGGTCTGCTTTTCCGCCGTTAGTTTCCGGCGTTGACCGCCGGTCTCCGGTGTTGACTTTTTCCATTTTTTTTCCATTTTTTTTTATCCATTTTTTCTACCCCGCCGCTAAACATTGACCGTAATTATACTGTCATTAACAGTAATTATGCTATCACTAACAGTACGTTAACGTAATTGTACTGTCGCTGACAGTACATTAACGTAATTGTACTGTTGTTGACAGTACATTTACGTAATTGTACTGTCGTTGACAGTACATTTACGTAATTGTACTGTATTTGACAGTACAATTAAAGTCAGCGACAATATTATTAGTTTTTTGACTTTTTATTTTATTTTATTTTTATTTGTTGACAAATCAACATAATTATATTACTGTCGTTAACCTTGTAGATGAATCGGTCTTTTAAATGGCCCAAATGCTCATTGGCTTATTGGGTCAGTCCAATAAGGCATATCAGTGAGCCTTCTAAAATAACCCATTCAGCCCTCTTTTTTACTTTTTTTTTTTCTATTTAGCCTCAATTTAACTTTAATCCTACAATTTCCTCCCAAAAATTATAAAATCCCATAAATGAAAACACTATGATACACGGAAACTTTTGTATATATGCGTTTTCACGTTTCGGAAACCGAAGAGAAAATTAGAACCGCGTCTCAATTTGTTCGATTATATTTAATATCTACATAGCTTGAGACTACATATGCTTTTTTGATTTTCTTTTTCAATACCTACTTTTTAATTTGCAATGTGTTTTGTAAGGTGAGATTTCGCCCCGTGAAGATTGTCAAAGAGGAGTATTTTACAGCAAAAAATGTTCCACCTAACTTCAGGTAATGAAATCGAGAGACTCAACGCATGATCACCTACCATTAGTCTTCGTCGGGAAGGATTTACTGCTCAAAATTGTCGGGACTTGCGCCTTTTTTTCCGATGAAAATATAACTTACTGTTGCATTCTGCTAAATTAAATAATTAGCAACTAACTAAAAAACCTTAGTCGACTAAGCAATAACTCAATCGACTAACTAATAAACCTGTCTGTTAACTAAAATATTAGGATGAACATCAAACAAGACAAGACGACAAGGAAGTTGAGTCGAGTATTGCACACGGAAGTTGAAGATGAGAATTACTTGAACAATATATGAATACAAGAGAACTCAACCAAATCTTTCACCATCTAACCGTAACTCAGTATCCAAGCTTCGTATTAACATAATACCTGCAACACACATGCACTTGTTTTGATAATTCCAACAGTTTCATCCAAATGCAACTTACATTATCCCAATGCACGTGTTATCAACCATATATGTGTATTGTCTATTTATAGTTGTTTTGTAGGAGAATGTATACATATACATACAATTGAGTAGATCCTTGGTAATAAAAAAATATTTAAAAAAAAATAATCGAACTTATCGGCCTGTTAGACCTCAAATTCCAACCCTTTTGATACAAATTCATCCTCATGATAGAAATAAAAATTGCATGACTAACCTTTTCAAGAGTCATAGGGATCCCCATTGTCCACCCCCTTTGTGGACGGCCTGCCGTCTCTTTTTTTTTTTCGCTCCGTTTTTT